TGATTAATATAGAGTCTGGTGTTATGAAAGATCAGGATAGAGTGGAATCCTACCAAGATTTTTGGAGGGAGTGGAAGAGTTAAGAGCAAAACTACATGAAATGAATAGGATCAGTTTGATGGAGAGAAAGTGGAGTGAAGAAAAGATATTTCATAAGTACTGATTTGGAAAGTGGCATCATCTGAAAAATGCGATAGAGGTTGAGAAACTGAGAAAATCCTTCCAGGCAACTAGCTGGGTATTAGTATAGTTAATATAACTGCAAGAACTGCGAGAGTCAAGAGCCTATTGTGCACATTGATTGATTGACTGTACCAGGATCGTAATCATAGAGTCAAAGAGTTATACAGCGCGGAATCAGACCCTTCGGTCCAACCAGTCCATGCCAAATATAATCCCAAACTAAACTAACCCTACCTGCCTGCTCCTGGCCCAGATCTCTCCAAACCTTTCCTGTTCATGTATTCATCCAATTGTCTTGTAAACATTGTAATTGTATCCACATCTGCCACTTCCTCAGGAAGTTCATTCCATACGTGAACCACCCTCTGTGTAAAAATTTTGCCTCTTTTTTTATTAAAATCTCTCTCCTCTCACTTTAAAAGTGGGCCCCCTAGTCTTGAAATTCCCATCTTAGGGAAAAGACAACTACCGTCAACTCTACCTATACCACTCATGATTTTATAAACTTCCATTAGTTTGCCTTGTCAACATCCTATGCTCTAGTGGAAAAAGGTTCCAGCCTTTCCTTACACCTCAAACCTTCCGTACCTGGCAACGTCCTGGTAAACCTCTTCTGAACCCTCTCCAGCTTGATAATTTCCTTCCTATAACTAGGTGACCAGAACTGGACACAGTACTCCAGAAGAGACTCCTGTCTCTATGTGACACCAACTTTAAGGAATTACATATCTGCTCCCCCTAGGTCCCTCTGTTCTACAACACTACAGAAGGCCCTACTATTGATTGTATTAGCCTTACCCTTGTTTGTTGAACCAAAATGCAATACCTCGCATTTACCCAGATTGAACTCCATCTGCCATTTTTCAGCCCATTAACCCATTTGATCAAGATCCCTCTGTGATCTTAGAAAACCTTCTTCACAGGCTGCAATGCTACCAATTTTGGTGTCACCTGCAAACTTACTAACCATGCCTTCTATATTCTCATCCAAATCAATTATTTAAATGACAAACAAAAGAGGACCCAGAACTGATCCTAGTGGAACATCGCTGGTCACAGGCCTCCAGTCCGAAAAGCATTACCCCACCATTACTCTCTGTCTCCATATGTTAAGCCAATTATACATCCAATTAGCAAGCTCACCCTGAATCCCATGTGACTTAACTTTACTAAGTAGTCTACCATGTGAAGCCTTGTCAAAGGTTTTACTAAAATCTGAATAAACAATGTTTACTGCTCTGCCATCAATCTTTTTGGTAACTGCCTCAAAAAATGCAATGAAGTTTGTGAGACACTATTTTCCTTGCACAAAACCATGATGAAATTTTCTGGTTCAAGTGGCAAACATTAAAGGGCATTGATACACTGCTCAGTATATCTGAAAATGTGTGGGGGAGGGAGTTTGGTAGAACTGGAGGAAAGAATGTTCCACAACAAGTCAGCCCTATTCTCAATCAGTCTAGTTTCCATAGAGTGATTTATTTTTGGGATCAAGTGACTGAAATCGAACAGTAAGTACTTAATTGTGACAACTAATTCACCCAAATGAAGGAGAATAGTGGTGGCTAAGGATGGGATAAATCTCTTTGAAAGGAAAAATGAAGGATAATGGTGTAAATGTTTACGCATCTGTGGCATTTAGGGCAAACAAACTGTTGGATAGATAAAAGGCATTAATTGCTCATGAAATGTGGGAATTGTTGGTTCAACCAGCATTTGTTACCCATTCCTAATTTCCCTTCAGAAGATTGACGATGAGTCACTTTCTTGGAGAGATACAGTCCATGGGGGTTTGGTCCACCCACTGTAGTAAGGGAGTTAAAGGATTTTGACCCAAATATAGTTAAGGAGTTTGCAGGCTGTGGTGTTCTTGAGCATCTACTGCTCTTCTCCTTTTGTGTTGTAGAGGTTGTAGCTTTGGAAGGTGCTGTCTAAAGATCCTTGGTGAGTTGCTGTAATGCATTTTGCAGATTGTGTGTTGGTGGTGGTGGGAAGGAATTTTTATGGTGCTGAATGTTGTCAAATGTCTTGAATATTCATGGGCTGCATTATACAGGCTAGTGGAGAATATTCTCTTGCACTCCCGATTTATGTCTTGTAAACTTTCAATAGATGTATTGCTGCAGAATTCCTAGATGCTGACCTGCTCTTGTAGCCACGGTATTTAAAAGGCTATTCCTGTTTAGCTTCTTGTCAAAGGCCAGTGAGGGATTCAGTGTTGGTAATGTCATCGACTGTGGAGGACAACTGTTTGGATGCTGACTTGTTTGGAATGGTAATTGCTGAACACTTGTGTGTGATGGAATGGACCTTGCCACTTTATATCCAAAGCTTGAATATTGTCCAAGTCTTGCACAAATATGTGGATATGGGTTGGATCAGAATCTAAGGAGTTGTGAATGGTAAAGAACATGATAAAAAAATCACCACCTCTGACTTAGGATGGAAGAAAGATATTGAAGAAGCAGCTAACGGTGATTGGGCCTCAAATACAACCCTCAGCACCACCTGCAGTAATGTTGTGGGATTTGCATAATTGACTTCCAGCAACACACTTGTCCAGAAAAACCAGGACAAATCCAACCCAACCAATCACCACTCCTTGGTGTATTCTTAATGACCTGCAAAGTGAATGGAAGAGTCATTTACAGTGCTTTCCAGCAACTATCAAATAACCTACTTTCTGAAGTTTTGTTAGGGAGCTTCACCAGGCCCACTTATCACCTGACCTCCTAACAGCCTTAGTCCAAACATGAATAGAAGATTGGAAGTTAACAGGGGAAGTGAAAATGATTGTTTTGACATCAAGATGCATTTGGCCGCATCATGGCATCATGGAACCCTAGCAAACCTGGAGCAAGTGTTAATCAGAGGGACATCTCTGCTTTTTGGAGTGACACTGGCACAAAAGAAGGTTGCTGCAATTGTTGAAGGTCGATCATCTTCGTATTGGACATCACTACAGTGTAATGGGTCAGGCCTTTGTTCCCTTTGTTGTAAGGTCGCATTGGACAATGTTCAGCACCTTTTGTGACTCTTTGGATATTGAAGCAGTCAGCACCCAAATGCAACAAGACCTGGACAATGTTCTGGCATAGACTATTAAGTGCAAAGTAACATTCATGTCATACATGTCAGGTAATGAACGTCTTCAACAAGGGAGAATCCAACTATCTCTCCTTCACATTTAATGGCATTGCTATTGCCGAATTCCTCACTATCAGTATCCTGTTGTTATTGCTGACTACCAACAGAATTGGGCTAGCTGTATAAGTACTGTGGCTACAAAAGCTGGTTATAGCATTGTCCACGAGCTTTTCCATCTGTTAGACAATTGAGTATAGACTGGTGCAGTAATTGGCTGGGTTTGGTTCATTTTCCTTTTTCTAAGCAGAACTCAGCTGGGCAATCTTCCACATTTCTGGTGGATTCCTGCATTATTTCTGTTTTGGAACACTTGGAGCTCGTTATGGAGCATATGTCATCGGTACTGTTGCTGGGATGTTTTCAGGGCCAACAGCCTTTCTTGATATAGCTAGGAGTGAATTACATTGGCTGAAGGCAGCATCTGTAATGCTGGGGACCTTAGGAGGAGGTTGGGATGGATCCCTTACTTGGCATTTGTGGCTGAAGATCAATGCTAATGCTTAAACCTTGTCTTTTGCACTGAGGTGCTCGGCTTCCTATTTTGAGGAAGGAGCTTCCTCCTCCTACTCCCGTTAGTTTACTTGTTGAGCACCATTCACGCCTAGATGTAGCTTAGATCTGATTTGTTGATTGTGGAATAATTTAGCTTTGGTGCAGTAGGCTGCTTTTGCTGTTTTGCATGCAAATAGATCTATATCGTATCTGCACCAGGTTATCACCTCAGTTTTAGGTATGCCTGGTGTTGTTGCCGCATGTCCATCTATATTCTTTATTGAACCAGGGTTGATTCCCTGGCTTGATAGTAATGATAGAGCAGCTGATGTGTTGGACAAAAGGCTTAAAGATTGTGGTGGAATACAATTCTGCTGCGCCTAATGGCCCATCATGCCACATGGATGCATAATCCTAAATTGCTAACTATATCCCATTTTGCAAAGTAGTAGAGCTACACAACATGATGGAAGGTATCCTCATTGTGAAGATGGGACTCCATTTCCACAAGAAGTGCACTGTGATTATTTGTACTAATACTGTGATGGACAGATACATCTCAAAATTGATGACGGTCAGGTTAAGTAAAGATTTTAATTTGTTGTTTACCTTACCACCCTGCCATAGAGCCAATGGGAGCAATTATGTCCTTTAGGACTTGGCAGTTGTGCTACTGATCCATTTCGGGTGATGCCCCCATTGAAGTCTCTCATCCCAGAGTTTTGTGTCTTTGCAAGCCTTTGTGTTTCTTCCAATTGGTTTAAGCATGGAGGAGTGCTGGTTAATTTGTTGAGTTGGAGCAATAGGTGATAATCAGCAGGATGTTTTCTTGCCTGTGTTTCACCTGATGTCATGAGTTGGTAAGGGTTTTGGAGTCAGTGTTTTTCCCAGTCTATATTGGAATATTATTGTTCTGTATTGATTAACTAACTTGAGTTATAACAATAAAAAATGGAAAACTACTGGGCCAAAGAGCCAAGTTTAGTTCAAAAAATGACAGTTTAGTATATGATGTCAATTTAGCATTGAACATAATGTAGTGCACATTCAAAAATCTTTGAAGTCCATTTTGCACATGAGGAGTATAGAGTTATTGGAATCATGTCTATTCAAGGTGACAGATTGAAAGATGGTGTTCTGCAAAAATGTAAAGATTCCCTGCTGTTTTACTTCCATAGGATATGGACGTGGAAATTGACTTCAGTTTGGAAAGCTCACCTTGGGACGATGATCCTTGGGGACCACTGTGCAACATGTCTCCAGGTATCTTTTTTTAAAAATTATTTTCAAAATTTTTAAATTTTTTGAATCTCTTACAAAATCACTGTAAATGAAGAGTATGATTTAGTTGAAAAAATGAATTTCTGAATACTGGGTGAAAAGCTAGCACCCATTTTTGCAGAGATCCACCAAGTCTGTAAAGGCAAAGGAAAAGATTTGGAGGCAAATCAAGGGTGGACAGAAGAAACTGGGTAATAATGGACAGACCTTAAACTTGAATTTTAGATGTGTGCTGGTCAGGAACAGAACTGTGCTAACAGCATTTTCTATATGTCTGTTTTGATGAGTGATTGTAATGGCATAGTACTCCATCCAGGCTTGGTAGTTGAGTGCAGAACTGTTTGGTGAGAACTTAAGAACAAGAGTAAACTAATTGGACTATAGTAAACAGATATAAAGTATTGACACTACTAACTAAAACACTAATCCCCTTTTAAACTCCCCCACACATACACATAGACACATAAATAGAGGAAAATAGATTATTGATGAAGATAGAAGAACTAGCAACTCAGTTCAATGGTCTTTGCTTCCCAGTTCTGATGTTGAAATGATCCTCCTTTGGCTGATGAGACCCATTGTTGTTATGATGTCTTTCTCTGGATGTTTCCATGAGTTTGTAAAAAGTACAGAAGAACTGTCTCTTGGAAAATGTTTCTGTCTCTGACTTGTCAATTCAAAAGTCACAGATTACAGCAAACACTGTGGGAAAGGTGATTGATTTTCGTGAGATTTAAACTGGGCTTTTGGTTGCAAAGACCAGGCAGCTTCTGGGCATGGAGAAGATCTGCACACTTTTTTTTCCCATCTGTCTCTGTGTCTCTATAACTTGTTTCCAGCTTCAGGCTGCTCAGCCACCTGAGAACCAGTGATGCAGCTGTTGGCAAGCAAAAGTTCTCTGTCACTGATAATGGTCACTAAACCACAGAACACTCAACTTTTTGTTACCACCCAGCTATATCTGAATCCTTTGGCCTCTCTCTGCCTGCAACTTAAACTTTAGTTACTGTTTGTTCAAACAGTTGTTTGCATGATGCTTGCATTGGCAGTCAGCTTACTTGCTTTTCAAACATGTAGTACCCTTTCAAACACTAGTTTTAAAAACAGTTCTTTCTCATTTCAGTCTGCAGTTTTTAAAAACCCAAAAGTAAAAAGATACAGCCCATACATCTTCTAAATCACTTGCTGCACCTGCATGCTGTTTCCACTCAAACCTTTTGTGATTCATGTACCAGGACACTCAGATCCCTTTGTACTAACCCAAGTTTTACAATCTCCATTTAAATAGTAAACTTTTACCTGCCAAAGTGGAAAAGTTTACATTTCCCATGTAATCTTCCATCTGCCATTTTTTTTGCCCACTCACTGAATTTACCTATATAGCTTTGTAGACTGTTTACTTCCGGTTGATAATTCAATTTCTGACCTACATTGATGTAATTGCTAAATTCTGCTACCATACATTTGGTCTCTACATCCAAATCATTGATTATAGATGTTGATTGAGCTTGAAATGACTTTTGTAAATGCATATTCCATCGGAAACTGACTGATCAGAGATGAAGTTATTTGTAATCAGCTTGGTGTGTAAAAACTGCCAATATTTGTGTCTGTCCAAGATGCAATGTCAGTCCAATGAGTGTTAGTCAATTAAAAGATCTTCTGGAGTACTGTATGCAGTTCTGGTTGCCCTGTTATAGGAAATTATTGTAGAACTGGAGAGGGTTCGGAAAAGATTTACCAGGATATTGCTGGGAATAGAGGGTTTAAGTTATAAAAATAGACAGGAAAGGCTGGGACATTTTTCACTAGAGCGTAGGAGGTTGAGGGCTGACCTGATAGAGGTTTATAAAATCATGAGGGGCATAGAGAAGGTGAATGACAAAGTCTTTTCCCTAGGGTGGGAGAGTTCAACACTAGGGGCTATATTTTTAAAGTGAGAGGAGGAAGTTTTAAAAAGGACATGACGGGCAACTTTTTTACACAGAGAGTGGTTTGTGTGTTGCATGAACTGCCAGAGAAAGTGATGGATGCAGGTACAGTTACAACGTTTATAAGACATTTGGATAAGTTCATGAATAGAAAATGTTTTAAGGGATATGGGCCAAGCAAAAGCAGGTGGGACTGGTTTAGTTTGGGAACATGGTCGGCATGGACTGGTTTGATCAAAGGGTCTGATTCTGTGCTGTATGATTCTCTGACTATCTCTATTAGCAGGAATTTTTTTTTCAGGGAAAATTACTTATTAATTCAGTTCCCTCACCATATTGTTAGTCGCAATCACAAAACTCTGGTGGAAGAAATGATTTCCAAAGTTATAAACATGTTCATGTGAATGACATGTGTTTTTTTGTCTTTTTCTACAGGCACACAGATCATGTCAGAGCCTCAGTCTCCAGCTTCGAGCTGTTCAATGACTTCTTCTGCAGATTCAATATTGCAACATGTAAGCAGTTTTTCTAAATACTGACCTGAGTCTTTATTTGTTTTGGTTGCTGAGGACTGTCACAAACCACAACATTTTAAAAGGTTCCTTTGAGTCTTCAATATTTTGCTGAGGAATGTGAACATCAAATGGTGGTTCATAAGGGCACAACACTGATTTGTTGAACCGTGATGTACTATTATAGAAAACTATGGCAGAGAAACAGGAATCTAGGACAGGAATAGGTCATTTATCTCATTGGACCTTTTTCACTATCCCAATAGATTGTGATTGATCTGTATCTTATTTTATCTACTTGTTTTTGTTTCATAACTCTGAATACCTTTGCTAAACAAAATACAACAATCTTTGTGTTGAAACTTTCAATTGATGTAACTTCAAATTTTGTTCATCTGGAGTCACATGTTGGCCAACTCGGGTAAGGATGAAAGATTTCCTTCCCTGAAGGAAATGAGTGAACTATATCCATTTTTATGACAGTGGACAGTAGCTATTCAACTAGCATTATAATTCCAAATTTCTCTTAAATTCTAACCTAATTATTGGTTGTGGTGGGATTTAAACCAATTAACCTGGGGTTCTGGGTTACTGGTACAGTGATGTTACTGCTACACTACCTCTCGATTGAAGTGGTCATCTGTCATCTTGACTTTCTTTCCCTTATCTCCTAACCAATTACCTAAGTAAAACAATGCTGGCAATTTGACATCATTATTTTTTGTCAAGTTTCCGATGTACAACCTTAGCAAACATGTTCTGAAAGTCCATAAAAACAACAGTATGTCACCACTTTATTCCTCACTTCAGTTATACCATCAAAAGATTTGACTGGATTACTGAGACTTGACTTACCTACTACAAGTTCAGGACAGCATACAACTCCAGAGCAACATTGACAAGTTGGTGGATTGGATGGATAGTTGGCAGATGGGGTTTGATGCAGAGAAATGTGAGATGCTACTCTTTGGAAGAGCATTGAAAGACATCAGTAAAATTGGGGAGTACAATTTTAAAGGAAGTGCAAGAGCAGAGGGACCTGGGGATATGATCATAGAAATCATAGAATCCCTACAGTGTGGAAACAGGCCCTTTGGCCCAACAAGTCCACACCAATCCTCAGAGCTTTATAAGCCACCTAATCTACACTTCCCCGAACACTACGGGCAAATTTGGCATGGCCAATCGACCTAGCCTGCACATCTTTGGACTGTGGGAGGAAACCAGAGCACACGGAGGAAAACCATATAGATACAGGAAGAATGTGCAAACTCCACACAGACAGTCGCCCAAGGGTAGAATCGATCCCGGGTCCCTGGTGCTGTGAGGCAACAGTGCTAACCACTGAGCCACCGTGCCGCCCCTCCAGTAAATCTCAGAGTCCTCCCACTCTCAGCTTCCCACGCCACCCTTCTAGCACATCACGCCTGCGTATTCTCATTCACCATTCATTCGAATGGTGGGAAACATTCCTGTAGGTTGGTACACAGATCATTTGAAGGTGGCAGGGCAGGTGGAGAGCAGTAAGTAAAGCAGATGTTGCTCTTGACTTTATTAATAGGAGTATAGCGTACAAGAGCAGGGAGGTGATGTTAAACTTGTACAGGACACTTTTTAGACCTGTATAATTGTGGGCGCTGCATAATAGGAAAGATGTAAGTGCATTGGAGAGAGTGCAAAATGATTTGCAAGGATGGCTCCAGGAATGAGAAATTTCAATTTTGTAGATAGATTAAAGATGTTGGGACTGTTATCCTGGGAGAAGAGAAGGCTGAGAGAACATTTGTTAGAGATTTGCAAAATCATGACCGAGTGGGACAGAGTAGATAGAGAGAAGCTGTTCCTGATCATAAAAGAAAAAAGAGCAAGAAGGCAAGATTTAAAGTGATGAGCAAATGAAGCAATGGTGATGGGAGGAAATTTTTTTTCACACAGCGAGTACTTAAGAGATGGAATGCACTGCCTGGAAATGTGATGGACGCAGTTTCAATTGACACATTCAAGAGAGAATTGAATGATTATTTGGATAGAAATGATGTGCAGGGATATTGGAAAAAGACAGGAAAGTTGCATAAAGTAAAAGAACTGGTGCAGGCATGATGGGCTGAATAGCCTCCTTCTGTGATTCTGTGAAATCCATATTTGATCAAGTAGCAATTTTCCCAATTGCTCAACTGTTGTCCAAACTAACAGCTTCTGGGAATGCTCCACAAGAGTTATTTACAACCTTCCTGTCCAAAAAAAAGCAATTCCTACATAAACAGTTTTCAAAGATTATATGGCTTAAACATCAAGAATTTCTTTACCCTTTCTTACACTGCAGTTTTTCTTTATTCTTTTATGGGACGTGGGCGGGAATGGAAAGGCTGGTGTTTGTTGCCCTTGTTAGACCGTTTCAGAGGATAGTTAGAGTCAATTACATTGCACTGGGTTCACTGTCACTTATAGGCCAATGCTGAGGAGAACAGCATAATCCCCTACTCCCCTCAAAAAACATTAGTCTCCCTGGTGTCCTGGCAAATACTTATTCCTCAGTTGCTCTGGTTATGTTTAATGTTTTAACGAATTATTATGATGATGTGGTCATTTATATGAAGCTGTTAGTAGGACCTTGCTGAGCACCTGCCATGCCAGTTACTTCTTTCAAAAGTATCTCATTGCCTGCAGAGTGCTTTGAGGTGTTCTGAGGTCATGAATTATATTTTGTATGTGCATTTTTGTTCTTTGATTTGCAAGCTGACTGAATGTTCTTCTTCCTTATAATTGTTTTCGTTCATGAGTGAACTCTTTAGTTGATATCCATGCTGCTTCTGTGGGAGGTTTAAGAGGGAAATGTAAAACTTGAAGTCTGAAAAAATTTGTGACCATTAACATTTTGGTCAACTGACATTTTTTTTGTGTCGCACACTATCGGCATATTGTTAGAAGTGGAATTGTAAATGCTGACAATATATAGCAGCATCTGTGGAGAGACAGCAAGTTCATGTTTTGTTTGCAAACTCTCATTATCACAGACTTTTTTGTCATGCAAATATTAAATTATACAATGTTCTTCATGATTGAAAAGAGAATTTGAATTTACTTTATCTTTCCAACATCCCAGGATTCTACATGTGCAATAAGCTGCTCTGAAATAGTAAGATAGTGTTTACAGAATTCATACCAAGGTCTCTATGTCTTGTAATTGCATAAAGTTCTGATTGTAACTTGTATGTTTTACTCTAAATAGGAAGAACTCCTCTATACCTTATCATGTCAGTCTTCTCCAGTTTCACCATGTAGTAAGACCAGTGAGTGTTCTTCTCCATTAGGCGAGTCAAAGGTCACGAGCTCCCCTGAAGTTAAACATGAAGAGTCTGGACCAGGTAAGACCAAATAAAGCACTGTTGGATTCTGCTTTCATTCGCCAAAACTTTTCTCATCTCTGTATCATCCAGATATTTACATCATTCATTTTCCTTTGGAAGTTAGGCTTACATTTCAAAACTATACGTGAATTGGAAACAGTAGCTGCATGTATTACTCATCTTGGTTTAATTTTATCATCAAACGTGTCAAATACATAGGGCACAGATTATCAGCATCTAAGATAGTTATAGATGTATCAATACTTCCTGAATTACATTATTTGAAGAGGCTTATTGACAAATGCCTCTTTTGTTCAAAAAGAAACAGATAATTAAGATTTTTTACGGAATTAACCATGAGGCGTCATGCATTCTGTGTGTTTTGTATCATGGTTGCTGAATTCAGCTTTTGTGGTCTACATGTACAGTCATAGTTTTGATAACTAGTAATTATTTCTACAAGAATTAGAAACGTGTGTTCTTCTGTTACAGTGAATGTCACATCAAATGTTTCAAAACAGAAGCCTATTCAACCGAAACCCATCCTCATTCCAGCTTTATCTGTGTCACAGTCTAGCCCAACACTAGCTGGAAAAACCATTATAATTCAACCGGTTCAACCGGTTCAAAATGTGGTGTCTGTCTTAAAACAACAACCAGTGAAAATCTGTCCAGCTCCTGCTGGTAAGTATCATATGATTTAAAACAAATACATCTCTGTGATTGTGGATTTATTTTTATAGTATTCTCTAGTACATTTTGTATATGGCAGCAATATAGAAAATGGCCAAAATCATGCCCTGAAGGCGGTTGGTAAGGCTTTCATAGCACAGCTCTGTCTAAGGTATCAGCAGAAACATTAAATAAAGCAACAAACACCCCTTTTGAGAGGAGTATTAAGGGGACAACTCAGGCTATATGAGAAATGTCTGTGTATATGTTCAACTTGATGTATTGACCTTCCTGCAGACTGTGGCCAAACATTCTTGAGACCTGTTCCTGAAATAATTTAACATGAGATGCACTGGATGGATTTTGTCTGATACACCAGCTGGAGACTAAATATCTTGCTACACGTTTTCTCCTAACTTGTTTTTGCATGTCTTTCCCTGAGTTGTGATGCCCATGGCCTGACTGAAACATTCTAGATAACTGACAATTGCATTTCAGGTGATCTTGTTCATAGAAATGAATAATTATTGACAATAAGTGCAAAAGGGACTTTAAAGCAATGATTACACCTCATTGGAGAATGCTGTGAGTCAAAATATTTGCAGTGTTTGACATTTTCCTCTCTCCAAAGCCTGGCTACAAGTTGTTGTTTGACAAGAACTGCATCCTCTCTCAGAATATGCTAAAAATCCCTTTGCAGCATCTCCAGGATGTCTCCAGAGATCTGGTTGGCTGTACTTCAGCCGTAATTTTGTTCAGAGACTCACATGCAGAATTTTGCTGCAAAAGTGTTTAAGTCAGTATGGATGAATAATTCTATGGGTGCTATTTGCATTCTTAACTAACCAGAGCAACATCTTTATTCACTACTGCAATCAGATTATTGTATTGGATACTCTAAGCAGATAAGAGATGTATTGGGTTTTTTTTTTTGATGGTTAAAAAGATGGAATATTCTTCCTCATATCAGACTTGGCCATTTCAAACACGTTTCTTAAGTGGGGAAAGCTTTATCAGTCAATATAGTTGTAGGCCAAAAACTATAAATGGTATTCATTGTAACATAGGAAAGTCATCAAAAGTGTGAAGAACATTCCAAAGGGAGTAGTCTCTGGGTAAATAGGAAACTCAAGAACTTTCACACACACCTGTTTAGAATTGTTACATTAGCTTGTGACATAGACTTACTTGCTGGTCGGTAAGTGGACTATTTGGTACATGATTGTCTGTAAGGAATAGAATTGATATTGACCAAACAGATTTTTTGGAGGGCCAACAGTCAGTTAAGACAAGGGGGTAGTGATCACAACATGGTGGAATTTCAAATCCAGTTTGAGGGAGAATAACTCTGGTCTCAAACCAGGGTCCTCAAACTAAAACTAAATTAGGGCAGAGGTATGAACAAAGAGTTTTCTAATGCAAACTGGGAAACTCGATTAAGGCGAAACTCAATGGATGAACAGTTGCCGACATAAAAGCAAAGATTTCATAGTGCTAAGCAAAAATGTAATTCGGTCAAAAGGGAGGACTCATGAGAGCGATGAGCACCTGTGGTTAACAGACAGTCAAGAAAGGCATCCAATCAAAAACTGAGGCATACAATGGAATAAAAAATAGTCTTTAGGATTTGGAGTATTTGTTTAGGAACCACTGGTAGATCACTAAAACGTTAATCAAGTGGGAGAAAATTGATTATGAAAGTAAATTTGGCAAGAAATATAAAAACAAACAGCAAGAGCTTCTATGGATATATGAAAAGCGAGCAAATAAAATAAATGTGGGACTTGGAGAATGCAACTCTGGAATTAATAATGGGAAACAGGGAAATGGCAGATAAATTTAAGCAATATTTTGCATCAGTCTTCATGATGGAAGATGCTGTATACATTCCAAAAACATCAGATAAGCTAGGTACTAATAGGAGGCAGAGGTAGGTTGTTTGTGTGGCCATTGACAGAGTATAGAAAACATTCACCCCACCTAACAAAAAGATCCATGCTTCTGCTGCGATCAAGAGAAAAGTCAAGATAGTCTGATGATGTGATTCAGACAAATCTGTTCACAGCACTCGGTGAATTACAAACAGTGCTAAAGAAGCAGAGGAGAAAGATGCAAAAAACATTGATGAGGATGACAGCAATTATAAGATCATAGCAAAAAAGTATAGTCTCAGCGTGTTTGTCAAGGAAAGGCTCGGTGGCGACCTGATAGAGGTCTTGAAAATTTTGAAGTTGTTTGATAAGGTGAACGTAGAACACTTGTGGTGAAGAGTATAACTTGAGGTTATCAAGATAAGATCATTAACATATAATCGGGAAGTTGGAATAAATTTCTTCAAAGTGTGGTGAAAATGTGGAGCTTGTTACCACTACATTTGCCGAGTTAGATAACAGATCTGTTTAAGGGGAAGTTAGATGAGCACGTTGAGCTGATAGGAATAGAACGTTATGCAGCCAGGCTGGGAGGAGTTTTGTATGGAATATAAACACTGTTTAGGATCAGATAAGCCAGGACACCTGTTTCAGTGTTATAACTCTCTTGATTTTAGTGTAATTTCAGTGCATCCAGAGTTCAGATTTTCTGCCTTAACTACTATTGGAGAAACTGCTTGTCTGTAATGAGTTAATGAAATCGTGCTGTAAGTCATTCAGAAAGGAAATTGTAACAGTGTCAGTAGATTGCTAATGGTGCCTGTTGATTTGGATCTGTATCTGTCTAAAAAATTGCTTTAAGATTTTAAACTCAGCTCAATGTTTACAATTCAAGGAAATGCAAAGTCTTCAGTCTTGACAAGCATGAACATACTTGGGACCTTTTTGAAAGCCTAAAATTTTAACCAATGCTATATAAAAAGCCACAAAACTTAATGTTGGCTATTGGTCAGAATGCTCAGGGTTGCCTGTTGTATTGGACATGCTGAGAGTTCAGATACATAAATTGAAGTGCCAGATGAGCCAGGCCTATGGGAAATGGGACATTGGTCCAGAAAGCATTGGAATTCTCAAGTCTGAGAGGCCCAGGATATTAATGAGGATTCCATCTGTTGATAAATTGTGTACAAGTGTTAATCCAAAAGTATAGATCATGAAGTGAATAAATGCTTGGACGTGCATGTTGTTAAATATAACACCAAGAATGTGAGTGATTTGGTTCAGATGGTTGTCAAGAGAAAGATGGATAAAGACCTGAGATAGTGCATAGGGACCAGAGGATAGGAGGCTTGCGCTGCATGCAGTGGTCTTCTCAGTAAGAAACTGGCTGATATTTCTGCACATTTAGTCCTGGTGGTACTGAAAATGTATTCAAACAAGCAATGTAACAAATTTGAGACTGTGGAGGAGTTCAGAGAAATAGTAGTACCACCATAATTTTGAGTTGATGGGAAAAGCCTACTGTGGGATGTCTAGTTTGGATGTCTATTGAAGTGCCACTTGAGGTGCTGAGGGAACTGCCTTGCAGCAGATCTTAAATAGCTTGAAATTGCATTTCAATTGGGCAATATTTTCCAAATCCTATGCATAAATGATTAAGTACCAAATAGTATATGGTTAATCATCTTGTTAAGTAATTCCTTTATTTAAAGTTAAGATGGCTATTAATTGTCAGAGCATGTATATTTAGGCTCTTGTGATGCAGTGATAATGTCTTTACCTCTGAGCCAAAGGCCTGGGTTCAAGTCCCATTTGCTCCAGAGGTGTGTAATAATTCCTCTGAGAAGAAAACTACTTGCTTCCTAATAATGAATGCTCAATGAAGAAGCTGTCAATCTCTCGAGACCAGGAATTAAAAGAAACAGTTCAGTTAAACCCAGCAAATGTTAAGTTGCCATAGTCTTACCAGATCGTAGACCTGCTTTCTCATTTGAGGAATGATTTGATTTCCAGATATTGAGGTGAACATTTCAACTAGGTTGAAACTACTTGTATTATTTGGGAGCCTAGGACTAGAACATGTCCACAAATAAAATCAGAGATAAAATCATAACATATGTCTCAACTGATTAAGGCGTCTTGGTTAATACAGAGCACTTTAATCAATTGGGTATTAAATTCTGTCTCTGCTTCCTGGAGAGTAATAAATCTTACCCAGAGCTATGTCAATTAACATTGACATCCGTGCTTTTGATTGTGTAGATTGGCCATGATTCTTATCTTAATGATTATCCTGTGACTCTTGCCGGCCAGTTACACAAGAGCATGCAGCCAATTGGAAAATATTCTGATTCATGAGTTTTGGCAAAGCAAATGAGAATGTACACTATGCAATTCTGTTGTGACTGAATTCTGAAGCTGCTTTTAGTCTGTTATTTACTTTTTCTGGATTCAGGGAGACTGTAAGGCATGAACTAGCCTTCTCCCTTTAGTCTATTAAAGTGCGCTTCTAACCATATAACAAAATTGTAGGCCCATGAGTGCTTGTATTCTACTCTCGGGGAGGAATACATTCAGGAATGTAAAGGCAGGATGTCTCTTCAGAAATATCAGCCTCTAAGAATTTGGTGCAGACAATTGTGAATATAGAAGTCTTCATTGCATTGTTTATGTATCTTTTGAAAGTGATTTGAAAATTATAAATTTACTTATCAAAACGCAGACACAAATTGACTGAATCTCATAGCTTTTATGCAATTTCTAACTGTCAAAGGAATGGCTTGAAGGTCAGAGAATAAAGAAATCTTAACTCTCCAAGTCTTTCAGAGTCAGGGATAAGGGAGCAGTTTTCCATCTGTGCGGCCACGAGGTAATTCAAGAGTCTGCAGGATATTGAACATTTATATGGTTCAAATACATTCCAACATTCCTGCAGCTTTCTTTCAAAAATTATTTTGACTGCTGTTTAGGTTGTAAGTCCGGTGCATGAATTTGGAGAGAGTGAAAAGGCCTACGCTTAAATATTTGAGCTCTGGAGGAATGTTGAAGTTAGCTTGCGAAGTTAACGTCAAATCATCTAGGAGTGATCTGTTTTTCTGATTCACTCACAGAAATCTTCTACCTATGGTCAATCTATTACTTAATTATGAAGGCCCATGGCTACTTGGAAATACAGTAAAATTGAAAAAGGTTTGTGTGCTATGAATTGGAAGCATCGCTGCTCTGCTTAAAGCAGTTTGTGCCCAAAAGCAGTCATATTGCAATTCAGAACCAATTAAAAACCATCCCTGCCTTTTAGCTGTGTATCCTCACGATACTGTTATCTTTTATTTTTCCTGAAGAAGAGCAAAGGCAGTGATGTCGTGGTAATGTCACTGGGCCAGTAATCTGGAGCCCCAGGACTATGCTCTGGGGACATGGGTTCAAATCTCATCATGGCAGATGGAGGAATTTGAATTCAGTTAAAATCTGGAATAAAGAGCTGGCCTAATGATGATCATTTTGATTGTCATTGACCCATCTGGTTCACTACCTTCTCTTAGAGAAGGAAGTCTATATCCTTACATTGTCTGACCTACATGTGACTCCAGACCCATAGCAATATGGTTGACTCTTAATTGCCTTCTGTGAAATGAAGTGAACAAAAAATATAACATCCCCCTCCTGTGAACAAATAAAAATAAAAGAATGCAAGACAAGAAGATTCCCTCTTTCTGCATGGCAGAAGCCCTTGTGTTGAGAGTCACAGTATTGGAACCCTGGGAGCCAATTCTGTGCTCATATGTGGCCAGCTTAATGTAGCTGAATATAGGGAAAGATAGTCAGTTGAGGAGCTGAACTTGATAAGATATGCAAAATTGGCCAGTTTTGGATTTTAAGTTGCACAGATAACAGTTGCTTCTGTTTAAAAATAAATGATGAAAAATAGCAAGAAATCATGGCTGAAATATATCACTGAGAGATTCTGGTATAAATCCACTTACTATGAAGCGTCAATTCATGATGGAACCTTGAACTTAAATGCAAATTTACTAAACACAGAATAACAGATCTTGTATCTTTAGATTTGGGTTTCAAAATAGAGGCAGATGGATGTTGGTCAGTTCTGCGAAGAATTTTTTGCAAGTCAAAATGTCAGTTTGGACCTCTATTCTGTATACAACGGTTCCAAAAAAAACACAAGCCTGTATTATAGTGCCTGGAAAAACCCCTTTAGTGCCATGGATTAACTGTTTGCATTGATGAGTTTAAGATATTAGATGGTTAGAATTTATCAGGAACAAATAATTTCTAATGTTTTCTTTTCCCTGATCATCGACATTGTATCAAGATTTTTAAAGACTGTGCCTCCACCTCTACTGAGAGAAACAATTGGAATACTGTATAGAGAGAATTTATAGAATTTATGAAACTGAGTTTTTCCTTTGAAACCCATTGCCAAATTCCCACTCTAAAACTAATGTGCTGCCGATGAGCTGAATACTTCAATACGTGATTCTCTTCAAAACAGTGTTGCATCGCAGAAATGCTTTAGTCATGGCAAATATGCACCTTGCTTACGGGGAAATTTGAAGTTCTTTAATTGTGACTGACCCAGAATCTGACTTTTTAAAGAAAATACATTGAGCTTCTTTCATCTTGTATTTAGCAGCAAACATTTCAGGAATTAAGGGATTTTTTTCTCTCAAGGGTTGCTTCAGATTAATTATGTATACTTGCCCATTTTTCTTTAATAAATATCATAACTTTTGCAGTTTTGACTATTGACATTTGTAAATTACAATAATTTATCTTAAGGAAGCAAAAACGTCTGATTGCAATGTGCAATCACAGAGGCATGAGACAGCAATTAGCATGCCCCTTAGTTAAAATATGGCTTTATTGGAACTAAAGTTTTTGGTACTTTGCAGCTCCTTTTTAGTTTTAGTCTGGGAGTTCTGCTTGAGCTTTTGGTTAATAAACTCAGCTATTGCTTTCGATCTTAAATACATTGACCTGACTTGGTAAATGTTTATTAATCAGATTATTGGATCAGATTTCTTTTAAGTAAAAGTTTTGATAGATTTATATAAAATGTTAATTTGACTATCTAATTACAAAATGGTTCCAGATTAATTAGAGTCTTCATCAAACCCCTTCACATATATAGCAGTAGACGTGAGGGTAGAGTTCTTGTGTTCTGAAATCTGCTTGCTTATTGATGCTTGTTGCTTTTACCTTGTTTTAGGTCAGGCAATTGTGGTTCCTCAGCCTGCTGTGGTACAGCTTCAGCCCCAAAGTCTTCCTGCTGCTCATCCAGTTATAAACATGGCTGGTGGAGCCAATCACGTTGGCACAGTTCCTCTGAGAGTACTGACACCTGCAAACAAGAGCACTATGAATGGAAATGCTCCGGCGGGAAAAGCTGTCAACTCAACACCTGCACCTGCTGCACCCAGCAACAGGAAGCCAGATGTAAGTTTTACTTTTTGTAGTCTGCAAGTTATTAGTCATCATTTGTTTTCTTAGCTCCAGGATGCACTTACTGGCATTATTTCTTTGGCTCTTGCCATTCATCGATGGCACATTTGTAGTCTGAATATGACATCACAGAGACTATAGGTTTTTCCAACTAATCTTAGGTAGTTGGAGTCTCATTCTGCCAGTGCACTCTGAAATTATTTTCTTACTCGTAACTATGAATATCCCAAGGGTTACCATTGACCAGAAACTGAGCTGGACCAAACATATAAGCTGTAGTTAGAAGAGCAGGTTAGAGGTTAGACATTACATGGCAGGGACTAGCCTTCTGTTTCCTCCGTGCCTATCCACTATCTTGAAAGCATGATTTAGAGGTGTGATGGAATTCTCTCCACTAGTCTTAATGGGTGCAGCTCCAATAACTTGACACCATCAGGCAAAGCAGCCTGCTTGATTGGCACCCCATCCACCACCTTCTATGTTCACTCCCTTCATCACAGTAGCAGCAGTGTGTACCATCTACAGAATGCATTGTAGTAATTCAGCAAAGCTTCTCCAATTACAGTTTGCAAACCTGTGACTGCTACCACCTAGAAGTACAAGAAAATGCATGGGAGCACCACTGCTTGTGAATTCTCCTTCAGGAGAAAAGTACCATTCCTTCATTGTCATTGAGTCAAACTCCTGAACTCCCTTAATCGTACTGTGGCGGCCCCTACACTCCAAGGTCTGCAGTGGTTTAAGGAGGAAACTCTCAATCATCTTCTCTAGGACATTTGGAGATCGACAATAAATGCTGGCTTAGCCAGAACATCCTATGAAGGAATGAAAAGAAACTTGTATAATTCCCTTAAATGCATCCACACTATTCACCTTAACTATTCTTTGTGGTAATAAGTTCTACATTCTTGGTTGTAAATAAATCAGTAGAGAATTCATCTAAAATTTATTAGCAATTATCTTATATTTATGACCTCTAGTACTGTATTCCCTGCAAGTGGAAACATTGTATCTGCTTGAAGATAGAAGAGACTCAATCACAGTATCCAAACTATGACTTGTGAACCATCAATGGCTGGCCAAGTGGTTCTACATAGCTTACCATTAATTTCACTGAGGTTTGTCCTATTCAAATTCACTGAACCCAGAAATTTGCAGAACATGGTTCTTGGCATTCTGGTCTGGCTGAATAATTCTTATCCAAGAGCATGACGATCTGTAAGTTAAGAATAAAGGCAAGTTTATGTAATGTTGATTTGATCTTATGCAAACGTTAAACTTGAATGTGGCTGGGTGGTTGTTGACAAAGTCAAGCTCTTTTTAAAAAAGCATATGGAGAGATTGTAATCGCACAATCTGACTGATCCCACTGGTTGCTGAAATCCCCAGTGAACTATGCTGCTGCTACCTTGAGATTGTTGGAGCCTTCGTGACTGTTTGTTTCTTCCTGCTTAAACTTGGCTAAAACACATGGGATGGGGTGAAAAGGGAAATCAGAAATCAAATTGAAAGAGGCTTGAGAGTGAAGTAGGTGTAAATTGGATAGGGGAGGGGGCGAATTGAGATGTAAGGATAGGAGGTGAATGAGATGAGATGAAGTCAGAAGTCACAGGACACCAGGTTATAGTCCAACAGGTTTATTTAAATCACAAGCTTTCAAAGCATTGCTCCTTAGTCAGGTGACGAAGGAGCAGTGCTCTGAAAGCGTGTGACTTTAAAGAAACCTGTTGGACTATAACCTGGTGTCATGCAACTTCTGGCTTTGTACACCCTAGTCCAACATCGGCATCTCCACATCAGAAATGAGATGAGGTGAGGGAATATGAGAGAAACTGATGTGAAAAAGGATCGAACTGAAGTAAAAGAAGTTAAAGGAAAAGGAATAAAGCCTATAAATGGCGTGTCTAACAGTAATTTTTACTAATGAACTCTGCCTGACTTTGGCTGTCTAACAAACTGAGATGCATAATGTTTCCATGCAATGTTTTTAATGTATTTTCTTTTAGATTTGTGTTGAAGACATTACTGTGTTCAGAATGTAAGCAGGTTTTCACTAGGCATTTTAAGTGCTGAGTTGCTTAAAGCTAATACAAAAAACAAAAATGATATGCCATCTGAAACAAAAATTGCTGTCAGCTGTGAATTTATCCAACATCCACAGTGTTGATGATATGAAGCAGCTTCTCCTTCTATTTCGAGTGTAAATAGAATCCAGTCATAGGCCTGCGTAACCAATTTCACTTTGAAGCTACTTAGTGCTTTTATCACCCAGTTTGCACTATACTAGTTAAGTTGGTGGGTTTTCAAAACCATTATTCATGCTGCTAATAATGCTGCTAATAGTACATATATGCAACTTGAAAGAGAGAGGTTTATATCCAACTTCAACCTTTATAATCTGAAAGATATGGAGGGGCACATGCTTTTTCGTGATCTTGACTAATCCACTGAGCAAGAATTTCCAGTCTTTTTGTTTTATGAGATGATTCGAAGATTTTTCCTTCCACAAAATGCCCCCAAGTCTTTTCCAAATATTGTTTACTTTTTGTTTCAGCAATAATTTGTTCATACCAGTCCTGATTTTGTATTTCACTGACTAAGAACATGTGCCACATGTAAGATGGAAATCAGATTTCTATTTATCTTTGCTATCCTTTGCTGTTCCTGGTATATAAACAGAGGCTTGAAAAGGTGAAGTTTCTGCAATCCTTAACTCAGTCCTAATTCACTTCTCTGACATGAGAACTCCCTCCTCTCTGGATGTTGTTCAGTAATTTTGTTGTGTGTCAATATCAAAAGTTGAGCGATCTGCACAGGGAGGAGCACAATGTAACATAGATTGAATTGCTACAGTGTGGAAACAGGCCATTTGGCTCAACAAGTCCACACTGACTCTCCGGAAAGCATCCCACCCAGACTCACCCGCCTACCCTATCCCTTTAACCCTGTATTTTCCCCATTGCTAATCCACCTAACCTACACATCCCTGGATATTATGGGCAATTTTAGCATGACCAATCCACTTAACCTGCACATCTTTGGACTGAGAGAGGAAACTGGAGCACCCGACAGAAACCCACGCAGACACAGGGAGAATATGCGAGTTCCACACAGACAGTTGTCTGAGGCTAGAATTGAACCTGGATCCCTGGTGCTGTGAGGCAGCAGTGCTAACCACTGAGCCACCATGCTACCCCAAATGCTTTCTTCTGACTTATAATTGCATTGACTCTGTCATTCAAGAGGTTTTTTGGTTGGTTGAGTTCTGATGAATCTTACCTGAATCACAATTTTATTTTGCTTACATCTTTGAAATTAAATTAATATGTTGCAGAGTACATTTTAGTTCAAAGTGTAAAATTTACACTAGAGGCATAAAGTATAAAGATGAGGAAGTAATGTTATACCTTTTACAAGTCATTGGTCAGACCATGTATGGAGTGTTGTTTTCAGTTCTGGGCACCTTAGTTAAGGAAAGATGTTAAAGCCCTGGAGGGAGTGCAAAGAAGATTTACTAAAATGATACAAGGAAAGATTGGAGATATTGGGTTTATTCTCCTTGGAGCAAGGAAGATTAAGAGGTGATCTTATTGAGGTGTTCAAAATTATAAACATTTTTAATAGGGTAAAGAAGTATGTTCTGTTTGCACTACTTGATATGTGAGTAATTAGGGGTCACAATTTCAAGACTGTCAGCGAGAGATGTGAGAGTGAGATGAAGAGAAACTTCTTTAGTCAGAAAGTTGGTAGGATTTGGAATTCATTGCCTGGGAGTGTGGTGGATGCAAATTCCATAGTAGACTTGAGAAGACAACTGGACATATATTTGAAGATGATGGATTTACAGGGCTTTGGAGATTGGGCTAGAGAGTGGGACTAGCTTGTAACTTTTTTGAGAGCTGCAACAGACATAATGAGCCAAACTACCTCTTTCTGTAATGTAAAATTATATGATTCTATTAATAGATGCTTTGGAACAAATGCAAGTGCTTCTTAATGTGTTGAATCGTGCAAAGTTTATAGATTTGAATGTCCCAACACACTCGAGGTTGCAGTTTCAGCAATCCTGTTGTGAATAATTGGTCAGCAGGCTTGCTGTTAGCTGTCTTTTGTTAGAAGACAGCCTGCATAAAATAAGACCTACGGGTTGGAAGGCTGTGTATGTGTCATGTTGGTGATAAAATTGAAATTTGAATTTGATCATAAGGTTTTAATACCTTGGACTTTCATGGACTGATATAGTTTTAAAAAGGGACAAATATACTGACTTAAAATGGCCACAGCAATCACCTGACCACACATGCTTCATGAAACCTATGTGAAATAAAAGAGCACAGTCTGAAACAAAATTAACATTTTGTCGAAAGGTCCTTGTGACCTATTTTGATTTTGTACCTACAGTAAAATCTTGCAAAGTTGAATCATGCAGGGATCCCTGCAAAATTGAAATCAAACAGGGCTTCATGACATACAGAGATTTGCTAGCTATGTGGTCCTGCACCTGATCGTGGAGAAAGTGAATGGGGCATTACAGTATCCAAGTATTGTATGGAAATGCTCTGAGTATTTCTTGCTTTTTGACAGATCAAAACAAAGGACGTGAACAATCAGGATTTCACAGTGAGGTGCTGACACCACGCCATTCCACAATCACTTTCTTTGTGTCTTTGTTACTTTTTTCATAGGATTAGCTGACAAAGAAATTTCTCATTGTTTCGCTCGAAAACCTTGTAACTGACTCCTTTCTGTTACATCTGTATCTGGTTCATTACATTTCGATTAGAGGGAGATATAACTTTATATTAAAAAGAACATAGAAACTTGTGGACAATTGGGAGCCTAAAAGGAGGGGAGCGAATTCATCCCTCTTCACCTGGTCAGAACAGTTTGTAGCTATTGCTGGGCAATTGCTTTTGTCTTGTAACAGTTACCAACCCTTTTTACCTTGTTCAAGCTGTTCATATTTGGAAATTGTTTCAGAGATAGTAGGAACT